CATTAACATTTTGACCACGAAGGCTCAGCGATCCGGCATACAGAACATCCAAAACTTCTCCAGATGAATCCAACATCACAAAAGTTGTTGCTGGCTTTCCAGGGCCCCAACAACAAGCCATAACCCTGGGTGCAGCTTCCTCATCAGAATTAGCATCATTTTCTTTTCGTTGATACGGTGACAAAGAAACTTTGTCCCACAAAAGCTTTCCATAATCCCAGAGCAACCAGTTTTTTGCTCTACTAGTCAACAGGGATCTTGCTTCCTTCTCCATTGAAGGTAGAAGAAAATTAGAAAATGCGTCTTTAAGGATCAGTTTCCTCTGCTCATTCCACAGTTGAGCAGATTTACTCACGCCATCACTCAGATAATAATCATTAGAGTCACTTATTAACTTATCAAGTATTGGTTCCGGTAGCTTGATGGTAACTTTCAGGAGCTTCTCCTCTTCAGCCTTTTGAATTAGAAGCCACTGTGCATCCTCAAATCGTGAAAGCGGCTTGTCCCGCAACCACTTAACTTCTGCAAACTGGTGGAAAGAATCAATTGCCACATTTCCATCAGGTGTAGGGCTTGTTGACACCACAGCATTATCCATAAAGATACTACGAACATGTTTACGTACACATGGTTCACAGCTAATCTCAACAGCAGCCTGGTAAGTTAAGTAAAAAATAATAAGTATACTGAAGAATGAAGATCTTAGAATTATGCAAATTATGGAAAATATCAGAGGTCTATCAGCATACCATGTGCCTAGCACCTCTGAGCACAGTCTGGGGAGTCTCAAACATCGCACAGGTGAAACTGGAAGCCATTTCTTCTGGCGTTTCCTTTGCATCCTCCAATTCATCCATTCTCTGCAATGAAATTTAAAATCCCTCTCAATCTCCCAGTTTAAAACAAGCACGGTCAGAAGGAAAAACAAACCTACCATTTTTTCCAGAGATATCTGCAAACCAAACTGCTCAGAGCTATAGCCAAACTTGCTCGCAACCTCCCATAAGCCAGCCTTACTGCAAATGCTATACTGTGATTTCCTCTTTGGCCTCTTGAATTGTCCTTCATCGGCACCAGCCTCACCCGCAGGGAAGTGCAAATTAAATTTTGAATCAACATCGTCAACCTCTCTTTCTGAATCAGCTGCCTTTAGCGACTTTGTAATTGAATCAAAAAGCTGCCTGTTCAAATTAAGTCGTGTCTCATCATAAACTCTTCGTGACTCTTCATCAAAGCGCTTGTTGTAGTATGTCTCAAGGGCACTCTTCCTTTTCTGAAGAAGAAGCCACTTTTTATCCAAGTCCAGGATTGTCCAAAGAACCTGAAGCACACCATTCCGTAACATATCAGGTACAAAAGATCACCATTAAAAATCTAATATGCATGATGAATCTCTATTATCTACCTTATGCCACCTTAGTCTAGGTTTTTGGTTAGGATCATCTAAGCTCTCAATGTCAGATGGTTGATCTGGATCCTTCAATAGGCTCAAAATCTCCTCCTTCCGGTACATAGCAATAAATGGAACCTAATGATAGAGCAGAATGAATTATTACTTAAACTTTAGAGTTCCACTGCACATAGCGAATTAAGCATCGCTTAGTAAAGAAACTTACATCTAACTTCTGTACATGCATTAATTCCAGAAATCTTGCAATGTCATCCTTGATTACTGATAGTTCATTCAGCTCCTCAGTTGTTGTGCCTCTCTTGTTAAACAGAGGCACAGCACCAGAGACGAGCTGACTATATATCCAGTCTCTCTCTTCTGCTATACTCAACTCATCTGTCGATGGAGGACCAGTACTTTCCTCAGAAACCTATAAAGAACAGGGAAAGCCGAAGCATTATAATCATGACAGCAGTATTGAAAACCAGGAAGATGAGTATTCTTCAGAAATATTGAAAACCTGCATTCTTTCAGGGATATCTATTTCCCTAATCAGGTCATCCTTTTCAGTCATGTACTTCTCAGAAAGAATAACAGGTTCAAATTCATCTTCAAGCCTCCCTCCACCAGATTCTTCTTGCCTTCCCCTCATTGCTAAACTTCTCTGGCGACGAGTCAGAATTTCATCAGCATCACCAAATATGTCATGCGCTTCCTGGAGAGCCGATGATGAGATCCCAGGGGTTTTCCTAATCTTTTTGGGCTTCTTCCTTCTGCATTACAAAATAGTTCAGAGAATCAACACATAAAGCTATGTCTCATAGACGCCCAAGATGTAAAATGTACCTGACTGGAGCTCCATGCTCATCAACTTCTTCTTCGTCAACAATGAAATCAGCCATCTCATCCTCTTCCCCAATGTCTGCATCCTCTTCTTCAAGCTGTTCATCCTCAGCAATATCCTCAAGTGGTTGTTCTAGAGAATTACAGACGTATCCAGAAAAATCGTTAGCAAACAGAAAATACTAACAATAAATGACAATTTGAATGAAATTTACCCTCATCATCACCAAACAAGCTGCGTTTAAGCTTCTCCTCTGCTGAACGCCCTCCCTTTCCACTTCCAATAAACTACTCTTCATCAGAAAACCCAGAGGTGTCTTCCTCTGTATCCCTCCGAGCTTTTTTCAGTCGCTTAAACTTCTTGCTCTCCTAATCATTTAACAAAAAATAATAATAATAATTAATTAATTACGGTTTGAC